GAATTGCCAATCCTCTCAAAGAGAGTCTTGACAATTCGACTTACAATGAAATATTCTGTATTATTCCAGCCCTCTAAGACCAAGTTAACGTGCTGACCCCTGTAAAGATTAAACATGTTGAGCTTTGTTTGACAGAGGGAAAATAGAGTATGTTTGAAATATCAGCATTTTGAATTTAATTATGGGTTAAAACAATAATCACTATTTCAAATTCAAATTCCAAGATTATACCCCAGTGTATTTTTTATTTTATTTTATTTTTTATTGAGGTAACATTAGTTTACAACATTGTAAATAATTCTAAGATACAGGATCACACGCTTCAGGACTGTGTTATCACACCACACCTACCACCGAGGCATGGAAATTTCTCCACCATGGTCCGTTATGCTCCCATTCCACTTCTTTTCTCCCCACTTCCCTCCCTCTGGTAGCCTCAGTTTTACACTCAGTTTTTTAGTGTTTAGTATTAGGTTTTATCTGACCCTTTGTTCTTGTTTTTCACTGTATTCCACAATTAAGCAACAGCAACAAAAACATATTTAAAAAAAAGACCTGTGTGTAATTGTGACTCTGAAGTCTACACTATTAAGCATAACAACACCAGAAAAGAATTTCAGTCTTGCAGCAAATTAGTCTAATCATATTATTAAAGATCACAGCCAAGTGATTGCAGAACATATGGCTTGCATTGTATTAACAGCTCTAACAAGGGCAGACAATATCATCACCACCAAAAAATAACTATTGACCACTTACTGTGGTATACCATTTTTTGAATGATCATTATTACTCCCAATTTGTCTAATCTTTTCTGGAATATGTTCATGTTTATGAACCAAATGCATACCACATCCATATGGCAAATATTAATCCAGAAGACACAAAATATTTGAAACCATTTTAAAACATGAATTTGTAAACCCTTCAAATCTTTATGATAACAACTCTTAAAAGTAAAGTACAGAAGCTGTCAAGAATTAATAGCACTGATATCTGTCAAGTTCTCAATGAAATAGAATTCTCTTTTTTTCTCTACTAATATCCATACAATTTTAAAACCACCAATAATCATACAATTAAAAAATATAATTTATTCTACTCTAAACTATCTATTGATATGGCCAACTCTCTCCACCTCCACTATTATTATTCCACTATAAGCAGTATTATTTCCTACAGTTAAACAGTTTTTCATTGTGCAGCTCTAAAAGGAGCCAGTTGTTTTGCAGTCTATGAGAATGGTGCCACCTGGAGGTGTGCAGTAAGGGAAATACACAGTCACACAGCAGCCCTGCATCCAGACGCCACTCCCTCTGATATGGAGTAAGTATTACAAATCGCTTCCCATTTCATCTGCTTCCATTATTACTTCCCCTCCAAAAGTAAAGGTATATAACACATGAGGACATCTTCCTACAAAACCCCTCAAGTAGCTTTCTGATGTTGCAATCACATGATCAAACTTGAGCAGATGAGGAATTGCTTCTTACAGGTGAGCATTTCAAATACAATTAAGGTCCCTTATCTTTTCATCAGTTAGTCTCTCTCATAAATTTACTCTCCAAGATTAACAAAATTCTCATAGAGAACTCAACTCAAATGCCCCCTCATCAAAACAGCATTATCTGACCACAGATTTTAATTTATCAGTCCTATCTCCTTCTCTCCATTTATTATATTTCAACAACTCATTTATTTCTTTTGTGGCACTTTTTATAATAAAGTCTGTTATTTGTTCTTTTACTTTTTTGTCGCTATTATACTTTACACACTGGACTTAGACTTAAGGAAGAGAGTGGAACGTGCTTTTCTTGTGAGCTGTTGCCAATGCCTGAAACACAGAATGACTTTCATAGGTACTTTTCAATTAATATAGATGCAATTCAGAGATATTGTGGGTTCAGTTTTAGATCATCTCAGTAAAGCAAACACCACATAAAGCAATGGATTTTTTTCGGTTTCCCAGTGCATATAAATGTTATATTTACAGTATACTTTAGTCTATTAAGCATGTAATAGCATTGTGTCCAAAATCAATATACATACCTTGATTTAAAAATATTTTATTGCTAAGTATGCTAATCATCATCTGAGTTTTCAGTGACTTGTAACCTTTTTTGCTGGGTTAGGGTCTTAACTTCAGGTTGATGACTGCTGAATGATCAGGTGGTTGGTTGCCAAAGAAAAGATCTCTAGAGCCTGACATTAGGTAATAACATAAGATATCAAGTAAGGGTCTCCCTGGTGGCACAGGGGTTAAAGTCTCAACGCTATCAAGCTATCGCCAGCCACTGCAGCCTGAGTTTGATCCCCGGTCAGGGAGCTAACCCACATGGTGCAGCAGACCTCTCCTGTCTCACCTGCTGCTCCCCTTAGCAGTCTATTTCAGTAGATCTGCTGTTCTATTCCCTGCTGTCTGGTGAATCCTTTCACCTCCCTGTCCTGCACCTCTGGCCTACACCCCAGTTATTGCATGCATAAATAAATACAAATAAATCTTTTAAAAAAGACATCAAGTAAAGTTTTCTTAAAACATTTGCACATTGACTATTCCTTTCATATAATATTCCTCTGTAGCATTTGATGCTGTTTAATAGTACTTATCCACAGTAAAACTTCTTTCAAAATCAATCAGTCTTCTAAAACATAGCTTTCTTAGCAGTGAAGTTTATACAATATTCTCTATGCTCTCTTGCCATTTCAACAATTCTCACAACATCTTTGCCAGAAGTAGATTCCAATTCAAGAAACCACTTTTCTTGCTCACCTGATGGAAACAGTTCCTCAAGTTTGATCATGGGATTGCAACATCTCTGTCACATCTTCAGGATCTACTTCTAATTCACATTTTTTACCAGATCTACCATATCTAAAGTTATTTCCTTCACTGAAGTTTTGAAATCCTCAAACTCATCTATGATGGTCAAAATCAACTTCCCCCAAACCATTGTTAATTTTGGACATTCTCCCATGAATCATGAATGTACTTGATGGCATCTAGAGTGTTGAATTCTTTCCAGAAGATTTTCAATTTACTCTGCCTAGATCCATCAGAGGAATTACTATTTATAGCAGCTATAGTCTTACAAAATGTATTTCTTCAATAATAAGACTAGAAAGGTGAAATGACTCCTTGATTCATGGGCTGCAGAATGGATTTTGTACTAGTAGACAAGAAAACAACATTAATCTCCTTGCACATCTCCATCAGAGATCTTGGGTGACCAGGTGCATTGTCAATGAAAAGTAATATTTTGAAAGGAATTTTTATTTTTGAGCAGTAGATCTCAATGGCAGTCTTAAAATACTCCATAAACCATATAGTAAACATATCTGATTCAGCATGGCTTTGTTATTTCATTTGTAGAGCACAGACAGAGTTGACTGAGCATCATTCTTAAGGACTTCAGAATGGTAAATGAGCATTGAGTTTAACTTAAAGTCACCAGTTACATTTGCCTCTGAGAATCAGCCTGTTATTTGAAGCTTTGAAGCTAGGTTTGACTTTTCTCTAACTAGCAAAGTCCTAGTAATCATCATCTTCCAAGAACACAGTTTTATTTCCATTGAAATGCCGTTGTTCAGTGTAGCCACCTGAGTCAATCATCTTAGATAGAGCTGGATAACTTGCTAAGCGTCTACATCAGCACCTGCTATATCATCTTACATTTTTGTTATAAAAATGACATCTTTCTTTCATGAAACAAGCTCTGCTAGCTTCTAACTTTTGTTCTCCAATATTCTTACCTCCCTCAGTCTTCATAAATTGAAGGAGTTAGGGCCTTGCTCTAGATTAAGCTTTGGTTTAAGGGAATGCTGTGATGTTTGATTTATCCAGATCACTAAAGCTTTCTCCAAATCAACAAAAGACTTTTTCACTTTATCAATCCTCTGTTCATTGGAGTAGTACTTCTTTTTTTTTTTTTTTTTTTTTTTTTTTTTATAGAGGCATGCTTTATTTATTTGTTTGCTGGTTTGTTTGTTTGTTTTGTTTATACATGCACTGGGTACAGTCAGAAGCGCAGGAGGGTGAGAGAATTCACCAGAGCCAGAGCGGGGAGCAGAGCAGGCAGAAGGACCGAAGCACACTGCTGAGGGGAGCAGCGGGCGGCAGGAGAGGTCTGCACGCCATGTGGGACCCTCCGCTGGTGGCCGGGGAGCAGCCGGGGATCGAACCGGCGCCGCAGAGGCCGCGGGCAGCTTCGCAACCCAGCGCTCAACCGCTGCGCCACCGGGGAGGCCCGGAGTAGTACTTCTAATTCCCCTCAAGAACATTCCCTTTGTTTTCACAACTGAGCTAAATGTTTGGTCCAAGAGATCTAGCTTTCAGCAAATCTCAGCTTAGATTGAGTTTCATAATTTCTAATTTTTTATGTAGTGAGAAACATGTGATTTTTCTCACGTGAACACTTAGAGGTCATTGTAAGGCTATTAATTCACTTAATATTAATATTATTTTATCTCATGGAATAGACCCAAATAAAGTAAGAGAGATGGGGGAACACCCAGTTGTTGGAACAGTCAACAAACATGCACATTTATCAACCAATCCTAGCATCTTATATGGGCACTGGTTCATGATACCCCCAAACAATTACAACAGTAACATCAAAGATCGCTGGTCACAGAGCACCATAAGAGATATTATAATTAGAAAGTTTGAAATGTTACAAGAATTACCAAAATGTGACAGGAAAACATGAAGTGAGCACATGCTAGAAAAATAGTGCTGATAGATTTCAATTTGTTAAAATCACAGAATCTGTGAAGCACTGTTAAATATATATGCAAATGAGTGAGTACAATATTTAAAGTTATGAATGTTAATATTTGTGCTTTATCAAAATGTTTAATTTTAATTCTGTTGGTTGACAAAATGTGTTTCAACCGAAGAAATTAAATTGTCATCATTAAGATGACAGCACAGGTTGACTATGAATGAAAAGAAACTATCAGGTGGAACACATGAGGTAATAGGACTGTTCTTTTCAACATACCTTGGAAAGCTTGTGAATTTTCTCTGGCCTTCAGTCATTTTGCCTGGAAAATGAGAAAGATATAGCAAATAATCACTGCATTTATTTTTCAGCTCTCAAGCTCAATGACTCTCTGATCTTGGGCAATTATTTAAACTGCCTCAGTTTCCTCATAGAATCAACATAGATAACTGTTTTGCAACTCTCATACCACTGACAAAAAGAAAAGCTAATAAAAATGATTTGCATACAGTAAACTGCCATGGAAACATTATGGGTTATGAATATTTTCCAGCTAATTCCACTGACCAACAGAGGAAATATATCCATTAATATATCAAAATCTCAATTGTTTAATTCATCATGTTTTACAGGATGTTTTTCTTAAAAATATTTAAAATTTCTTCTATAGATTTTTAGATCCTATGCATGAGCCACAAGAATTATCCCCAGTTCACAGATCATGAAATTGAGACTCAGTAATCCTAATTTCCTGCCATAAATTACTCGGATTGTAAGGTTCTGCATTGTGCTTAAACTTGGGGCTTTTTTGAGCCCATACACAGAAATCTTCCTATTAGCATAATAAAGATCTAAACAGAGAAGCAGTTGATTCCTTTGAACAGACACACTAAGGTACAAAAGAAACAGGGACATTGTATGCTCAGTCTATAAGGATGTGTTAGTCCTATGAAGATTATAGTGCTACTGTGATCTTATAAAATATGCATTGCTTAGTAATAACCATTGAATATAGTACTGAATGTGGATCAGAACTAGATAGATGAGTTATGAGTCACTAATTTTTCTAAAACTATGAAGTGATCTTCATATACATAAAGGTAAACTGCATTATACTTAATATATAAAAAGTGTGCATAGCATACTCTGCCAATTACTTAATCTCGTTTAAAAAATAATTCTGTTATTTGACACCTGTCAAAAACTCAGTTGACAGACTTATTTTTTACAATCTATTACACCTTCTAAGAATCTAATCAATGTGTCCAATTTACTATTCATAATTTGCATAGCATACTTATGGCTTTATTCCATATTTATCTTCTATTTTCTCATCACCAACTTTCAATGTTCATCACAAATACAAATGAAAATCCTGTTATTTCAAACATTAATTTGTGTATATAATGCATTTATTAATACACACAAATTAAAATTAAGATGCTAAGGAAGTTCTCTTAATTTTGAAAAAAATCAAAATGAGAAAAATGTCTATTTTGTAATTATTATAACATTTGTACAAACTTACCACATAATGTACCTTAAACTAGCAGATTGCTAACATAATACTAATATAATATTTTTGAGATTTTTATCAGTGTCAACTACACAAATTGTGGGTTCCTATGCAAAATGAATTATGCCTGGCCCCTTCGAGAGATCAAAAAGCAGTTAAACGGTACCTTTAAAAATGTGTATAAAGCTGTTTCGTTTCTTGCTTTGTGTTTCCCTCTCTCCCTTTTATTCAATTTCTCTCCTTTCCTCTCTCTCTCAGATTGCCATGGTATGTTTTATTTACTATATATTTTCCTAGAAAAGAAGAATTAAACCTTGCATTTTAAGATAAATTTTACCTTTCATCTTTATGTCATTGATATTTTTAAAATTGATATTATTCAATGACACTTTTAAATGGAAATATCAGAGTATTTCACATATGTTATTACTGAAATGATCCAATTTTTATTCCCTGGCACATCCCTAATTGGGGGAGGGTAGACCAGTACAGCAAAATGGGTAAGGAGAGACAAACACAAGCTAGAACAGGATGGTGGGATGGAGAAGGAGTAGTTCTCCCTGCCCTTGGGAGGCAGAGAAGAGGATGGCACTTAAATAGAACTTCAACTCTCACCATTCCCCATATTACCTTGTTCTACTTCACTTACAATGTACAAAATCAAAGATAAAATAATTAAAAGTTTAAAGGCAGGACCACAGAGTAAAAAAGCCTAAAATTCTAAGTGCGGAGTCCTTTTCTTCAAGAGTTCTCATTGCATACCCATGAAATAGTCTTGGTTCTAATTATTTTCAACTAATATTCTAGGTAGATAGATCACTGCCAATTTCCAAATAAGGGAATTATGACAAGAGGTTAGTCATTGAACCAAGACCTCACAATTACTAATGTTATTAGAGGATTTTTTAACACAAATATGAATAATGGCTTATGCACTTGACTTAGTTGATTTGACTTAAATACATTGAACTTATTTTTCTATCTACAGTATATATTCCCACACACATTAATGTTTGTGTACACAAAGACAAATGTCTTCTTGAGTATAATTAAATTTATATACATATTTGAATCTTCATAAATAGAGTCTATTACACAAAATTTGCATAAACATATGGCTACATACCCATATTCACGAGAAATTACCATTTGTTAATTCTTTGGGTAGCTTTGCAATCAATTGTAATTTTATTCTTGTAAATAAATTGACAACAGATATTTTTTAGATGTTTCAGTAGGATGCATTTACCTTCAAAGGAGTCACTTTATTTTAAAGTTTTGCCAATATACATGCTTTATTGCAATTAAATAATGATTAAATTTAAATTTTTAAGTATTTTAAAATTCTATTCTCTTTCTATTACTACCTAACTTCCACACTGTTATATTCAGAGGATTCTAAAATTTGAACATATATGCATATAGTCCTACATTTAAAAATATATCTAATCTTATGAAAAATTATAAAATTTATATATTTATTTTATAAATTCAAGTTTTCAACAGAGTTCTATATTAAGGCCATCAAGTTTTCCTTTAGTTGTGATCATATTGGTAACAGAGAAATTCAATGATACATATTTTGATTATTTGTGCTGGAACAAGAATCAAATCTTCAAAGAAAAATGGTATATGAGTTAAGATCTCAGAATTGCAATTTACATTATTACACTTAAAGATACATAGATAAACAAACTTGTGAAGCTAAAAACAAGTCATAATTCAATATAGAAAGAAAAAAAATAAGCATCTATGTTGACTGTCCTAATAGCTGGAGCCAGAAAATTTATGACTATTGTCAAAAAATAATACAACAAAAACCCAATTTGTGGCATTTGTTTTGCTATAATATGATCATCCACCAAGCAAGTCCTGTCATGGACTTAGTTTTCTTGAAGTTTCCTATTAAGGGAAAGTTTTATTCTTGTAAATGAGTCATTTTGGAGGAGACTCCTAATGGAATTCAGTGTCATACTGCAGAGCACATCCACACAGATCTGTTATTCTTACTTTATAATGCACAGCATATCTAATTGCTTAATTATATTCTGACAGAATAGAATGTAGAGAGGGACAGAAACTGTTCAATACATTCCTGCTAATGTCAGGAATTTTGTTTAGAATTTACCATATCCTTCCATTCTCTAAGATTGAAATATGCTCTGAGGTTTAGGGATAAAAACTTTTAATACTATTTGCACATGGATACGTGGTGCTGATATAGGGCATTTTATTAATAGGGAAAAATGAAGAAAACTAAGTTCTATATTTCAAAAAGAAGGGAGAAAACATGAGTTTTGGCCCAAATAAAATGATGTTGTCAATATACCATGTATATGTTTCAATTTTAAAATGCAGACTAATTTCATCATGTTCAAAATCTACTCCAGGGCCTCCCTGGTGGTGCAGGGGTTAAAGTCTCAGCACACTCAAGTCATAGCCAGCCCCTGGAGCATGAGTTCCATCCCTGGCCAGGGAGCTAACCCACATGGCACAACAGACCTCTCCTTTCTCACCCGCTGCTCCCCTCAGCAGTGTATTTCAGTCAATCTGCCTGTTCTGCTGCCCACTCTGTCTCTGGTGAATCCTCTCACCCCCACACCTCTGGCCTATATCCCAGTTCTTGTATGCACAAATAAATAAATCTTAAAAAAAAATTGCTATACAGTTTCCTTAAGAAAATCATGCACAGAGTATTGATTAATAAAATGTGTGATACTAAAATTTTAAAAAAAAAAGGAATGGCAAGTCAGTAAGTTACTTAAAAAATACTGTATTTTAAAATACCAAATAAGGCCACTTGTATGTAGAATATAGCAAAACAAAACAAAGGGTCAGATAAAGCCAAATCAATAATAAACCCAAGAAATCCGACTACAGAATTGAGGCTACCATAGGGGGAGAGGGCGAGGGGAGTAAAGTGGGAAGGGGGTACAGTGGACTATAGTGGAGGACCATGGGGACCTTGGTGGTTGAGACCTGAAAGCATGATCCTATACCTCTAAATCATATATATTGTAAAATCTGTTCCTCAAAGGAAAACATAACGAAAGAAGAAAAATACTTTGAAGTATTTTCTTCACATATCAAAATGAGTACACATTTTGAAATATAATTCCCCCCTAAACTTTGATAGCCTCTATCAATAAAATCCATTTCTGGTCAGTTACACCATTCAATTATTTTCAGTGATAATAGTCTAGGAGTTTGTCATTTACTATCTGACCTCTGCAACTTGAGTCTGTTATTACTTCCCCCAACTATTTTAAGTATTGGTGTCAAGAATATCATCAAAGTAGCAGCACATTGAGAATCATTTGCAAATACTTTACAATCATTTACCTGAATTTTCTGTGAGACAGTGTTATAAACGATAAAAGCTTAGTCTCAATATCAATGCTTACAAGTTAAATACATATATTTGTAGCCATCTTCCTTTATTTTTCTGATGCTATGTTCACCTACAAAAAAACAAAAACTAGCAGGGGTGAACTAACACTTTGCCAATGTTAATTTTCTACTGACATCATGGTGGTGTAGGTGTCATTATAATACCCATTGTAAAAATACAGATACAGTTTTAAATAGATTAGGCCAATTGTCTGAGAGAGCTAAGTAATTAAATGAAAAAGCAAGAACTAAAATCTAAATGGGTCTGATTTCAAAATACAAGTTTTCAAAATTTCATTTTCCAACTCTTTAGTGCTTTATCATTTCTCTTTATCTTCTAACGTTCTGCTTCCCTTCTAGAAAGATTGATTACAGCTATTTTAGGTACATACCAGGCTCATTCCCTCTTAGATAAC